AAAGTTCCTCCATGTCTTCAAAAATGTGTAATAAGGCAACTATTTACTTGAACATTTTCCAGTTAAACTTAGAAACATGTCAGCATTTTGTTTACAGCGTTTCCTTCCTCTGAAGTGGACACACAAATATGTAAATTCAGGTTTAATTGCGGCAGCTGCTGACAGATATTTCAGTTGTGAAGCGTTTGTCTCAGTTTCCTCTTGGGACAGATTAATCTCCACAATAATAATAATTAAAAAAATGATTTGTATATATGAATGCAGTGATTTCTATCAGAACAGAACTCCACTTGTGATTCTCTCAAGGAGCTTCTTTGAAAGTTCACCTGTCCCCACTGGTGAACAGGATGCTGGCACCACAATGCTTCTTTTCTATGACGCCAATGCTTGTTTCTTTTTTACACTCAAAATCAGTTTGCATTAAAGTTGATGTCATCTGTGTTTATTTAGACATACAACAGTCTTTTGCATCATGCACTCAGTCTTTCACTGCCTTTTTCTTTTTTTTTTTGCAAACTCCGGGCTGCTGTCTTCTGCCATCTGGCCTCTCTCCCACACAGTCCAGATTTGTGAAGTGCTGCACTGACTGTTGTCTCTCCAGAAAAAAAATAAAATCTTATAGCAGCCAAGGAACGCTGTAGCTCAGATAGACAGGTCCTTGGATCTTAAGTCACTTTCCCAACCAGGGTCCATTGTTGCCTGTTGCTTGATTTGTGGTCAGGCATTCAGGTATTGGAAGGAAAACCTGGCAGCTTCAGAATTCCCGGTGTTCTCATAACACCCTTACGCAGATTTAAACCTCTGAGTCTGGTAAAAAAAAAAAGATAAATAAGAAAAAGAGGTAGATGGTGGATAAACGTTGCACACTGTGCAGTACATAGAGATGACGGTATTTAAGAGGATACAGTTTTCTGTCTGTATTTGCAGCACTATGTTCTCATTGACCTGTACACTGCAACGTGTTCCTATACCTCAGGAGGAGCTCGAAAACGTTGCTGGGGAGAGGGAAGTCTTGGTTGACTTTTCCGCGCTTGCTGCCACCGTGACCTGACCTCGGATAAGCGGAAGAAAATGGATGGATGGATGGAGTACTGTTCCTGTAACAGAAATTATGTTGGTAGTATGTATATTAATACTGTAATTACAATATTGCATAGGTCTCAAATGTAACTTACTGTGTACACTACCACTTACTTGCTCATTTCTACCAGCCACTGGTCATTTCAGTCCTCTTTTGACAGTGTAAGTTATTCCTGAGGAGCTCCTTGTCATGCTTTATGTTAAACTGATGGAACATCAACAGGCCGGTGATGGACAGCAGAGATCCATCTGAGAGCTGCAGGGGAGCATAGTCCACATGCTTTTCTGATTTCCTGAGCTCCAGGACAGCATCATGAATATTTGCCGGTATACTGACACAAGATTTATTTTTGGCCTTTTTTTAGACAGGAAAGTGGACAGAGGAAGAAATCAAGGAATGACAGTGAGGAAAGGTTTTTTTTGTAACACAAGTGTTTATTGAATTATGGAACTTATGACCCTCTCGCATTACATACGCTATCATAATATCATAAGGGAGTCTTATTTAGCACTTTTAATTCATCATTTTAAATTCCATGCCCTGATGCATTAATTTCTTTCTCCTAAAAACATGAGAAAAAGCAATTTGATGTTGTTTACAGGGATGATAAATAGTAACACAGCATAAAGCAAGCGTCACAGCCCACTGTTTCCATTCTAGGATATCTGTATAAATGTGATAAGACTTGACATGATCAGGTGAGTGACTGCTGTTTGTCCAGCTGTCTGCCGTCTTCTCCATCAGCTTGAGAATTCTCAACAATGGAAACCTTTAAAATGCACGTCTGTCTGATTGTGTTTGAAAATAGGTTAAGGCATCTACAGTAAAAAAAAAAAAAGGCTGAATCAATCAAGCTGCCAGTGTGTTTGGGATGTTTTGGAAGCCAACCGAGTTACTGTCCAGTAAGTCTTGTCATGTGTCAATTCCCCAAAAACAGCTTAATAAATACCATAATGCTGTTTAGCTCAAAAACACATTTTTATTTTTTTGTGAATTTCTGTAAAAGGGCTTACGCTGATGCAATATGTATGTGGCGGACTTTTATTTTTTATTTGTATTTTATGTTTATATATTGTCATATTGAAAGTGACTTATTGGAAATGGCTCACTACATGCGCGATTATAGCCTAAATAAAACCATCGGTTTGAATGATTATGATGACGTGGATCTGTCAGTAAAGTTTGATATTTAGTGAAATAAAATGTGGAAGAGACATCAATATGTATCTGCAGGCTTCAATTCACCACTTCGCTGTCTGTGTCGCCAATTTCCCATGCCTCCAAAATGTATGTACGCCTGGGTCACAGTTTGCTTACCGGTGCGCACATTTTACCGTCAGGTTTGTTTTTATAGATCACAAACTTTGCGTGGGAAAAGGCGTACGCCAGTTTCAGACCCCGTTTTGTGCGTATGCAACGGTTATAAATTTTGGTAATCCAAAAACACCTAAGCAGGATCTGAAAGAAAGAGACAAGCATAAGTACAAAATAAAACAGGAAATTACAAAATTAAATGAACATAAACAAAACATGACCGAGGTAACACGGCAGGTTGGGATGTGTGTGTATGACCTTTCGGTAATATACTTTAAAAACAAAAATTTAAAAATCTATCAGTGTTTAATGTTGTGTGTTTCTCTCCCTTTTTCCAACATCTTTTAAGATTTAAAAAGTCTGTTAGTGTTGGCCAGGTTTTACAAATCCTGAGCTGGCAAAACAAAACAAATGCTGAATCAACGTTACAGACACACAGAGTGGTCCACATCGCTCTGAATATTATGGGAGTAATTTGTTCCACCTGTGCTTAACGAGTCCCTCATTAGCTCAGTTGCCTTAACTAATACACCTTTCAAGTTTTGGGGTAAATGTCATGATGTCGCTTTTTGTACTTAAAAATAGCTATGTGAGAAAAGTTTTTAGTAAATTCATGTCTTACATTTTACACACTGGTTTTCGAACATTTGGCAGGGATTTATCTCAACTGTCCTTAGGGATCCTCCTGGCTCTGCTTCATCAATACCATGGCCCGGTGGCAGATTGAAAAACTCAACAACAACAAATGAGATATCTACAGGCATCGATCAAATTGATTAGTATACTGTTTCGACGATTTTATATCTCCAAGATCCATGTTCAAGTCTGCCTTGTTGCCACTACAGAGTATTATAATAGGACTACACAATGACATGCAATTTAAGCTCTAGTCCTACCAGCTGACTGTAAAAAAAGACAACGCGTCTCCAACTCCTCCTGTTGTACAAAGATGAAGCCAAAGTACCCCTGTGATGGGCACTGACATATTGCATATTTGTAGCCAAAGTCTGCGCAGTAATGATAATGTGGAAGAACTGCGGCACTGACATCATGCAGCTTCCCCTAAAAAACAACAAATTTCTCTAACCATGAAAAGTCAGAGATTCCTCAGGTTGGTAAGGTCCACAGCTAAACAGATTATTGTGTCAGTTTGAGGCAGGCGCTACCGGATATGATATATTCACTGAATCCTGTTTTACGGTTTGCTATTATGCTTAAGTAAAAGCATTGGATAACAGAACTGTCAATCATGGCATTCAACGCCATTTTACAACATCTAACTAAAAAAACCTAATGTAACAGAAATTACTCAGTAAAAGGAGTACTTTTACACAAATCAGTATGCTAATAACTAGCTATCACAACCAAAGCCAGTTTAAAAAAAAAAAAAATTAGCTTTGCATTTTTATTTTAACATTTGCCCCGTCTCCCATCTGTTAACACAGAGGAGGTGGGGTTCATCTAAATCTTTTGGCTTCACTTTGGGGTAGGTGTTTTGTTGTGCATCTTGTTATACCGTCTATATTCTGATAGCACACCGATAAAAAAAGTAGAAGAAAGTAGAAGACAAACAAAGCGTCTTTGACAACTGCATGGGGAAGTAGGGAGACAACAGTGGATTCTCTTTATCAACTTAACAATCAGGGCTGCCGATTGTTTCGCAAACATGTCATCAATGTTCCTCATAAGGTTCAAAGTTCCATCTTATCTGTTTGATCAGCACTGTCATAGTCCCTTCTAATAAACAAAGGCTCTCTGTCTCCTGTGATTCACAAGACACTAAGCTCAATGTGCGCTGTAGGTGGAGCCACTAAAAACTAAATGCTTCTTTGCACATCAGCCCTGTTAGTGTTAACCGGCCTGCACAGGGACGACCTCCACCACACCAGCCTGGTAACTCTCTGATCGGGTTGAGAGCTGCATTAATGTGATATCACACAGACTTCTCTGTTAGAAAATTCATGACAAAAGGGAAACTGGCGAGTTTTAATTTTGCATCAAGCAACAAAAAAGTAGCAGCTTGATGAGATTCAGGTCATAGGCTTGACATCGGAGGCCCTGAAGTGTGACAACTACCCATGCTCACATCTCATTTGTGCTGGCGACATGATGCAGTGCGGAAACAACGCTAGGTGGACACATCTCTTAGTTTTGTCTCCCAGTAGATATGGGAGTTTTTGTTTGTTTGTTTGTTGTCCATGATTCAGCAAACCTTATTTTTTCCACTTCTGTTTACATTTGAATTTTCTAGTCTCATGACATCACAACAGACGTTCTGTTTACATTTGAATTTTTTAGTCTCATGACATCACAACAGACGTTCTGTTTACATTTGATTTTTTTAGTCTCATGACATCACAAAGGACGTTGTCTGACATAAATAGACTCGATGAATTTCCCAGATTGAATTCACTCGTCACAGCCAGAGAGAAGTGCAGGACTGAATCAGAGTTTACCACTGGAGAATACCCATTTACTTTCTCGACCCATCATCTTGCACGCTAAACACACAAAAGACTTGTTGCCTGGTTAATTGCTTATATTGTAAGTGACTAATGTTGCAACAATGACGAGCCACAAAGACGTCGAGGAGGAGATTTCTCCAATGAACGCCGCCAATGATGCGGCAGAGTCGGAGGAGTTTTCATCAACTGATTTTATCTCGGAGCTCTTGAGAATATTCAAAGAGGCTGATGTAGACAAAGGCGGAGGATTGGACATGGAGGAGTTTTGTGTAGCAATGAAAAAGATTTCTAAAATGACTTGTGAAAATGACAACTTCAAGAGCCTGACCGAGGAAGACTTCCAGATCCTTCACATGAAAATCGACACAAACTGCGATTCCACTGTCGATCTCGGAGAGCTACTCACCTTCATGCTCTGTCAGGCTGATGCGACGTCCAACTTAGATTTGCTGTTTCCCAAACCATTCAAAGTTACACCCATGAATCATCAGAAAAATATTGTGAAACTCATCTTCAATCCTTTGAACGATGCCGAGCCGACTGATACCGTTTCAGGGGGGTCGCAGGCACGGGTCTACCTGAAAGGTCAATACCTTTCCATGACGTCTAATGGGATCTTAAACTTCTGGACCGACAGGTTCGAGAGTCCTCAGACATTCTACCTGGACAACGAAGAGAACACACTTCCTTACATGCAAAAGAGGACGATGTGTGTTAATGACATGGTTTACCTGCCAGAGCTCAAACAGATCGCCGTCTCCACCAATAAAAGAGAGCTGGCGTTCTACAGTTGCCACAGGTTACCTGAAGCATTTGAAATCAGCAACTCCTTAATACTAGAAGACCAAAAATTGACCAGCTTGAACTACTGGTCCGATGGCACAAAAGCGGTGTTTTCCGTTGGTGACTCCAAAGGATATCTGTACATTTTCATTTCCAACAATGTCCACCAGGAAGGCCTCTTCTGCCAAGGAAGCTACGAGAAAATGTCCCTGAAGAAGTATCCCACGGTTTACATTTCGAACCTTTTGACTAAACAATCCAAAAACTTCCAGTGTCACAGACGACACGTCTTCGAAGACGCTTGCAGTCAGATCCAATTTATTCCAACCCTCAACTCCTTTGCTGTCTGCGGTGCTTCGTCCAGGGACATGGTCCTCATTACCCTATCCGAGCCCCACTCAGTGGGAGTCTCGACCTTTCGAAGCAAGCCTGGTAAGGAAATGTTCACTTGTGTGGAATACTGTGCTGAACGCCTGGTGACTGGTGGCATGGATGGATTACTGCGGGTGTGGATACCAAATAACACAGAGAACCCCGAAAATATAATGGTAGGGCACACCAAACCCGTCACCCATATTATGTACAACCAAAAGGATGATATGCTCCTCAGTTTATCGGATGACAAGAATGTCCACGTTTGGTGCACGATTAAATGGATGTCCGAGCAGAGCTTCCAGGTCCAGGGAATGGGGACGGCACCGATCGCCAGCACCTGTTGGAACACCATAAATAACGAGTTAGTTGTGGCCACCTCAAACGTTGCAACAACTCTCGGAAGAGGAACGGATGTTTTTCAAAAATCGGTGAACTCCCACATTCAGCCCGTGTGCTGCACCCTCTACAACAATATTTTCAAACAGGTCGTCTCAGTTTGCCAAAACGGTGTTGTGATGTTGTGGAACATCATAACCGGAAAAGCTGAACTGCAGTTCAAAGTCACTCCGGACCAGCAGGTGGGGCTCGTTGCCATCTCGTTCGATGAACCGCAGCGTAGATTGATCACAATTTCACAGGACGGGAAAGTGAGACTCTGGAACTTCAACAGCGGAAAAGAGCTCATAGTTCTCTCTGGTACCATGCCGAACAAGGTGACGGGTATTGTGTGCATCAACGACAGAATTTTTGTGTCTGGACTTAACTCTAGGACCATTTTCAACATGGATCTGGAAGACAAAGACCACAGATACATGAGGCACAAATACTTGAAAGATATTTCCTCAATGGATGTGCATGAAAACACGTTAATCACCGCCTCTAGCAATGCATATATTGTCGTCTGGAAATTGTGGTCTGTTGAAGCTGCAGAGGCCGCCTTTTGGATTAATACCCATCAGAGTCCTCACACATACATGGTGGACAAAAGACATCCAGGACAGACCGGGTGTCTGACTGTGGATATGTGTAAAAGGAAAATCGCTGGAAAAAAACAACGTAGTGCAACTTCTGGTAAGGCTCCTGAATACAACCGTTCTCTAATATGTCTGAAGACCAGGGAAAACAGAGTAGACATAGCCACACTTTTAACTTATGCAGGCGACTACATCTACGCCTGGTCTCCTAAAGTCAAGGGAGGTCTGTTAGGGAAGTTCAAGGCAGTGGAAGATGAAAGTGCCGTCCTTACCACCATGTCAACTGATGTTGATGAGCAGATTTTACTCACCGGGGACAGTCTAGGGAACGTTAGCCTGTGGGACATTGATGGATTTTGGTCAGGAAAAGATTCACTTAAAGAGCCATTTGAGATTACAAATGAATGGAAAGTGTCATTGTGTCCTCCCCCTCTGCTGGGCTCCTGGAAAGCTCACCTGACAGAGGTAGTGAGTGTGATGTTTGACTCTAAGCGTGAACACATAGTCACCGCAGGGTTGGACTGCAATGTTCGGCTGTGGACGAACTCCGGCTGCTTTATCGGCCTCTTCAGGAGGCATCAATGGGATTTGATGTCTTCCAGCCCTCAACAGAATTTCGACCACGAGCTACAAGAAATTCAAAGCATGGAAAAGGAAAAGGATCAAATACTTAAAGAAACAAAAGAAAATTGCGAAGAAAAGAGTAATTTTAGAATGATTGAAGAACTCGAAAAGATAGAAGAAAGGCTTGAAGAAAGACACAGATCAGACAAGGAGCTTGAACACAAGCTGAAAACAAAGTTCCAAGATTTAGACAAATGCGATACCCTCAGTGAGACTATTGAAAAGGCTAGGCCACCGATATCGGACGCTCAAGTATATGCCTTGTATTGGAGGGCGATGCAGGTCGTCCCTCAGATCGACATAATTGACAAAAATATGAGAAAACGTATGAAGGAGCCTCAACAGCGTGCTACCGTCAAAGTCAAGGAAGGGACTGAAAACTCCCCGGAAACTAGTGAAAACGAAGATAACGTCAGCTCACCAGATGTGCGGGATAGGGTCCCGCCACATGACCCTCGCACTCCGCTCAGTGGTTTTGCCAGAAAAGTTCGGGTCAAGTCTCCTGATGTGGACCACATTGTGGGCAGAGGTAACCACTTAAAAAACAATGTGCTCACTCCATGTCCTCCTGACACCAAGCCAGACTGCACAATATACGTGCGTAAGGCCAAATATGGACGTGTGAACAAGATCCAGAACAACAAAAAACATGACAGTGCCTCCACACCGTGTCCGTCCGCCCGAAAAGCAGCGGTGTGAGCAACCGCGAGAGCAACCACAAGAGCCTCTTCGCTTTCCACCAATCTCTGATAAAGGAACAGCAGGCCATGGTCGCTTTGACAAGAGCTCAAGATACATGCTGGATCACCTACTACAGTAAAGTAGAGATCTGAACTGTTGAAAGATCAGAAAGAGTTATGCAATAGTTGAATTTGTGTTTGTCTTTTTTTTTATAATCATTTAATTCTTTTATGATTTAATATATATGTCATAAAGTCATAACTTTTTTCTGCTTTCAACATTTCCTGTTAAACTTACACACACTCGTGGTGCCTACGCACCTGTGAGGTCAGGATAAGTGTGCCGTACTTTGAGCAAAACCATATGCGAGCTCGTAGGCGTATAGCGTTTCTGTGTATCTGCCTGGTTCACGGTCTTCGAGCTAAAACCACATATGAACTTAGTATCACCTGTGTTACCTTGTATGCCTTGACATCAAGACCCCATATCAACTTGATTGAACTTGGTTGAATACACATGTATGTATCACATTTCTGCGACTCTGCATTATTGAGGTTTCACAGAATCTTGAAAAAAAGAGACGGGTTGGCTATAAAAACGCTGTGTAAAAGCTGATCGAGGTTCTTTTTTGCTCTGCTAAAGGACTCCATGTCACTCTGACTTTTGAATCCCCATTCTTGGGACTTAGTCTCTGAGACCAAGATCTTTTAAAACCTCAAGTGTCTACACTCTCGGGTTTAGACTTTGGTCTTTGTGTTTTGCTTTTCTTTTTACATTTTAACTTTCACTGTTTTGTATTTGCATTTATATTATCTTTATCTTATTCACAGTTATTCCCTCTCCGGGGGGTAATCTAGAGTCCTATACCAGGGGTTATTCTTGAATCTAATTATTCTAGAAATGAATGTTAGGTAGATAATCCTGGGGCTGTGATTATAACTTGTTCATCCGTCCTCCAAAGGATGTTAGCGGAATAATTTTTCATAGCTCCTTCCACTAGGGAAGATTAGACTAGCGGTTGGTAGGGAGCGTGCTCTCATTTAGTTCATTAGTTAATTAGTTAACTAATGTGCGGTGAGCCTCCGTTAGCTATAGTAAAGTTATTCACCTCTTTTTGCATGTCATGCTACAGAACGCAGACCAGAGCGCGACCATTTGACACCAATATCTGATCATGAATTCTGTTGTATGGGTTTACTCCGGGAAGCTCCGGTTTGTCCCTTTATTTCCAACCATTAAAAAAACAAAAAGAAAACAGATTACTGATGAAGTAAGTATATTGACTTAGGTTCAGGAGCAGGACAACGCCTAGACCACACATTAAATCACCTGATACCGAGCCATCCTTTGTCTCAGTTCTTCGACCCTCCTTCCCTTCCCTTCCTCCCCAACAGACAGACTTTTGCTAGTATTTCTGAACGGGCCAAAGCCATAACAAATGCCATTGAAGTTCTTATATCGACAGAGGGAAATATAAATAGTTCTGCGCTGAAACTATACTGTCCCAGATGTGATTAGCGTGCTCAAAGGGAATTCAAAAAACTTTTGCCTTCATAAGCTCAAAGGTGGAAGTGTAATTTAAAAGAAATATTTTTACATATATAAATATTAATTACTTTATTTCATTCATATCTTTTATTTATTGGAGACTCTTTTGGTTTAAGGATGCAGCGTAAGTTTATTTTAGTTTATTTACAATGTTTAATTTAAAATGTTATTAAAAAGTTACCTGAGTAGGTAGACAAGTCTGCACTTAGTCCAATTTGTAAAAGGGAAATTCTAAGTGTTCCTAATAAAGAAAAGAAAAAGTGTTGCATCAGGTCCCTTTACTGTACTGAAAATGTACCAAACTGAAGCTTCAAAACTTGGAACCGTACCGAACCGAAATTTTTGTGTACCGTTACACCCCTAATAGATGGATGGAGATTCAATGCGACTTAATCAAAGAAATCAGAAATATGAGCAAATATAAACTGGTTTAAGGTCATTTCCTGCGAGCAGTGTGAACACAGCAAATGATGAAATATGAATGATATGTTTCCTCTTCCTATCTACTGCCTTGCTTTTAATAATACACCTTTATTTTGTTTATTCTTCTCTGATTTGGGACTCAGTTTATTTTTCTGTTTCTCAAAGTATTTCAAAATCCTTATCACAGAAAAATCAGCTTCCCTGATTGGTCCTTGGCTGCTGATTGATCCCCGATCTCTGCTGCGTTGCGTTCTAATGACTCATCTGCTTCAGCTTTCTCTCTCTCTCTCTTTCAGACGTAGTAGCCTCGGCGCTACATCCTCTGAAAATAACTCTGTGAGTAATGACTGTCTACAATGGGTGTAACACCTGAGTCCCACTGTCTGTGATGCTTTTTCCGAGTCCTATCTGGCTGGCTCATCCCCTCGTGTATAAAAGTTGTTTAATTGAGGGACTAGAGAAAAGAAGAATAACATACTGTACTCACTGCTTAACTGCGTTTCTAGATCACGCTCCTTTCGGGTAAATTTACATGCAGTGTGAAGATACAAGCATAATAAAGATAGCTAACACAACAATGCAGCACGAGTTGTTTTCATTTCATAATGGTGCTCAAGAGCGACATCTGCTGGATCAAAAAATCGCATAGTAAGCTTTTAACACTGAATTTCTTTCTTTACATTTCAGTCAACAAGGTTCAATCATAATGTAACCATCAAATCAGAAGTAGATTTACTTCCTCAGTCCTGCAGAGTGACCTTTAGCGGAGAGACCGCCCTTTCTGTTTGACTCACTGTCCAGTCTCGGACCTCCACCGTAGCGCTCGTAGAGAAGATGTGCGACTTGCATGGAAACCCTCTTGGTGTCTCCGACCTTGTTTGGGTGCAGCTTCCCGTGAGAGCACAAGAACAACGTGGTGTCGATCTCTTTTGTGGCGGTGGAGTCGTCCAGCCACTTCTTCAACCAGTTGAGGTGGATAAATTCATAGGGCTCACCTTAGGACGAAGAGCAGGGAGACACACTTAGCAATCAAGCTGCCTGTTTTTTTTTGTTTTTTGTTTTTTTTTGTGGACTGTGGATCATTAGGGAATGTTTTTACCGACCGTCTCTTGCAGGTAAAAGCTCGTACAGCTGCTTCACCTCCTCATGCTTGCCTTTGCCTTTGTCCACGCTCTGTTTTCTCATGTCGGCCATCTCGTTGCACCACTCATCAAATTTACGGTTGTCTTGGTCCACCAACCTCTGAAGGAAGGCTGGGAGCGAGGACGAGGGTAAGAGAGACCATCAGACAAGGGGACATGAACCAGACTGCAGGCTATGGTTTAAATAAGTTTAAATTCTAGGACTCACTTGGCACCTCGATGTTGGTCCTTGGGGTTTCTGAGCTCTCCTCTAATTGGATCTTATACACCAGCATGGAGGCATTTCTGGAGCAGGGGTAGCCTTTACTGCACTTTGGCTTTCGCGTTTGGGATTTTCTCAGCTAAAAAAGCAAAAAGACAAGAACAAAAGTTACAACATGAAATGTCAGACTCTGAACAAAGGAGATCTTACCTGTTTTGTAAAAACCAGTCAGATTAAATGAATGTTATAGGGAGGCTATTTTAAGGTTTAGGAGCTACGGATGGCCAAGCATAATGTCAACAAACAGTGTGTTTACATGGACTTGAGTATCCCGGATATGAGCCTGATCCCGGATTTGATTACATTCTAGATATAGCTTTAACATGCACACAGTGAAACCTGGTTATTCATTTCCCTGTATGCATGTTAAATACTACTATCCTGGTTCATGATTACTGCATCTCAATTGCACAGACGCCCGCAATGTTTATCTTTTACAACACAAACCATGGCAACCATATGTATTGGGAAACTGGCGTCCTGCAGCCTGTTCAACACAGACTTGAACAGGTCCGCATTTCGATGATTTATCTCGTCTAAATTCCAATTATGTTGAATTATTTCATTATCGAAGGAAATGACTCAGTTTCTTTTCTCTTATTGCCGTCGCCATGTTTGTTCTAATGATGCGTCAGTTGGCTGTGGCTGAGCCTGCGCAGGTAGGTTGATGTGATGTTAATGTTTGTGTTTACATTATCATTTTTACCGTTCCGTCTGTGTGTGCTGCAAATGACAAGAGCTGCTTAACTTTTTTCATTGTTTTTATTTATACAATAAAGATATATCCTGTTGTAGTCAGCAGCTGTCAGAAACCGGATCAAGCGTATTCATGCCACAGTATCCTGTTTTCTTCCGGCAGCAAAATCGTATTTCTCATAATCAGGCGTCCATGTAAACTAGTTCAAATGATAATTTAGAAAACCTTGCCTTGTGTTGTGAGGGTGCAAGAGGAGCATTATTCACTGTAGGCACCAGTTATTTAGAATGAATTCTGAGATATCCAGTAAGTCGATGTGTAGTGACTAATACATCAATTTGTGTCACGAGCCTAACCGCAGCCTTTAGGACGATCTGTTAACAGTGTATTGTAAACATACTAAGGCAGGTATAAGAGAGGAACACATTTAGCACGACTCACCGATGTCCTCCTCAATGCCAAGCTGAAGCTTCTTGCCTTCCATCTTCTTGATTTCCTCATCGTTGAATTTGTTCCAGTCGCCGGTGCGCGCGTCCTTCCATGTGCGATATAGTGGCCCGAGTAGGCACTGATGCCCCGATGGATCAGTACCGCACTCAGCTTGTAAACAAAGTTCTGGCCTGGAGAAAACAAACAAAAAATGGATGTTAACAGTCTGCAGTGTGACCCCCTTATCTAATCTAATGTTCACTAATTTCACACTGTGGGCTACGTTATTGTCAGCGGGCTCTAACTGAAAGTGCAGATTATGTGTGTGTGTGTGTGTGTGTGTGTGTGTGTGTGTGTGTGTGTGTGTGTGTGTGTGTGTGATGATATAGATTCATGACGTTAAACACCTTGTAGTCCTTCCATGAAAGACCTCATGTCCAGCTGATCAGGAAACTGATAAGAGGTGTTGAGCTTCTTCTTGTGGCCCGTTTGTCTGTCAAAAAAACCAAATAATTAA